AGTTCAAGACTTGGTTTAATTGGCTCCACTGATCACGTGCACTTTTACCTGAGGTGAAAGAAAATAGATTGCAAAAGTATTCACGTTTTGCATTCTTCAGCTCTTGATTCAGCTGATTGCGGTATTTTTTATATGTACATAATTTCGCAGAATCTCGAGATTTGATAAATTTCGCATATAGTTTATCCTTTGCTTTTATTTTTCTGACTAGCTCGGGCGTGATCCATGGTTTTTTATTTTTGCGTTTACGATAGAATATAATGGGAAAGCATTTTGCATAAGCTGATTTCACTTTTAGCATTAGAGCATGATATGCGCTGTCAGCGTCTTGTAAGGATAGCACGTCATCCCAACTGATGGCACGTATTGCGGTTCGAAAGTGCTCGAGGGTATTAATATTAACGCGCTGATAAAACGTGGGACCTAATTCAGAACTATGATAAAATGGCGATACGGTGATGAAGGAAAACACGGGGAGGTGATCACTTACGTCGGATAGAACCGTGCCTACGTTTGAGCCATATTTCATCGCGTTAGTTATGACAAGATCTAGAGTTGTCGCTGTTGAAGGCGTGATACGAGTTGGTACTTCGATAAGATTAATAAACCCAGAAGAATCCAGCAAAGTCATGAATTCTATTTGCGCTGCACTCACGCATTGCATGTCGATGTTCATGTCTCCGGACCAGTAAAGGATTTCTTGATTGATTGACACATGATTCAAGAGAGCCTCAAGGGCGCCAAAAAATCTGTCCAAGTTTCCATCTGGAGGCCTGTACAATACGGTGGACAAATCGTTACCCTCGACAGTCAACATTTCATAATCTGAAGAGATACAAGTAAGACTGTCATTAAAGGGGTACTCCACTGGTTTTTTCATTGTCTCCGATTTGCTTGAAATTTTTCTAAACTAACCAACAAACATCGTGAAATAGTATCCCAAATATTAGGTCAAAATATTGTTTTTTTGCAAAGTTATTGAATTTACAGTTTTGGTCCTCACCGTGTTTTTCAAGCTCGAAGTCTCTACTGGCAACAATGAAAAACTGACGTCACTGGAAGGCAGGGGTTCACTCTTTTGGCTGTAGATTTTGTTTTAAACTGATTCGAAGCAGTTTCATGGTGTCAAATGAATGCTCGGGAAGCTCGCTGCAGTACCCGCGCTCCAGCACGGAACAAATGATTGGCATATTCTATTTTTTGGCTGCTTGCTCGACTGGCAAGCCTGCCTGCCACTGACGTCACGGCACTGAAAAGTGCGCGTATATTTGAATGTTGGTTTTTGCATCATTTTCATTTGCCGATTTCACAATACCTATTATGAATTTCGCGATTCTAAATAGCATACCGGAGAGAGTAAAGGCCGGGGAGTCAGAAAATATAGTTAGTTGAGGTAGCTCAAAAAATCAGTGGAGTACCCCTTTAACCGTGACAGTGTGTGAATTAAGGATTTGAATTGAAACACCTCCCCCTCTTTGGTTGGTTCTGTTAATGTAAAAATGTGAGCGGTCATTGAAAACCAAATAGTTAGATTCATCATTATACCAGGTTTCACTGAACATGATAACATCAAAGCGAGTTTCGAAAGAATGAAAGAGTAATTGTATTTCGTCCACCTTGTTGTTTACCGAACGACAGTTTATGTGCAAAATGCTAAGAGCATTTTTATTAGCGAAGTCGCTAACGGCCGTTGGGGATAAAAGTTTGTGACAGTTCATAATAATAATAAGAAAAAAAATTTTATGTCTTCAGGTCATTTTAGATAGGTCAGCGGCACTTGAGATCTTCAATACTGCACTGTTTTCAGATTTTTTAGCGTAAAACTGTCTAATTTATGTTTCTCTCCTTCGTGTCTTCACCTTGTCTCTTTTCTTGGCTACTACCAGCTTACTTTCGCTCCTCAATGTCCTGTCTTCTCTGACCCCCATTTTAAAAATTTGTGCACCCAAATGTGGAAGCGGCCAAGCAAACAAGTGCACACACTTATCGAGGCATTGCTATTTATTAGAAGTGTATGACCCATAAATTATGTAAAGCGTCAATTCAGATGAGAGGGACTTGCTCGTGAAACAGCTGTTTGCATATTGTTCAAAAGCTGTTGGCACTGACGCCATGCACAGCTAGGCTTAATTTTACCCTAGCTCGAAGCATACCAAAGGCTACAGGTGCAAGGTCTTAGCCAAGAACTTGCACTTTTAGTCTTGTGTTGCATATCAATGCTTGGTCTCTGAGAAACAATGAGTAAAGAAATGTGTCCCGAACATGGTGGAGAATAGAATTTACGATGATTTAAATCATTATTGAAATCGCAGCAGTTTTGCTATGGCGATTTAAGTCAAACCTTCTCCTCAAAATCAAATTAATGTGATCTACTTGATTTTTTTCTCTTTTTACCCTGGTTCTGAAATGGTAAACTCCTGTGCTTCATGACTGAACCTCTCGAGTCTTGACAATGGGAGAGATTTAGTTTTTTTCGCAGAAAGTAATTAAGAGGCACCGTTTGCTGGCGTACCCCTTCAGCATCAGCAGAGCGAATGGGGCAAGTAAATGACTTGCATATCGGGTTGTTACACTTCGCTGTCTTTGCTTCACTGGCTGAGCCACAGTTCATTTAGGCAGCTACGCCTGCTGAAATAAACTCGCATCCTGGGGGTTCTGTCATCTGTGCTCAGTTCATCAAACAAAGGGTCAAAGATTGCTTGCAGAATGTCCTGCTGCTCCTATATTGCCTCTGCCTTATCAAGCCAAGCCTGCTGGTTGCTAAAGGGTGCGGTAGGAGACTAGGCTCTGCTTTTAGAAGTCTCTAAGATATTGCTCACAAATCTGGGTGGGGTAGGCAGAATCAAGCCTGTTTGATATTACCCTGACAATGATTTGCACCAGTGACAAAACTTGAACGCTCTATACATGATGATGACCCTAATGCTCATTGGGAGAGTGAAAATATATTTTTACAGAAACACATTTTGTTCCGAAGTTTCTCGGACCTTTCTAGCCCTTTTTCGAGGGTTTCAGATGCGAGCAATGTGGTGCAGCCATTGACTGTCTGTCACTTTAAAGCATCCTTGTCACTTTAAAGCCAAAACAATCTTAACCAACACTGGTTAGGATTGCTTCGGATAGGTAGGTCATCCTTTCCACTTTGGAACAAGGCAGTGTGATTGGAACAAATATGCCTAAGGATAGACTAGGGCAATGGTTCTCAAATGGGGGTCCGCAGACCCTTTGGGGACCGTGATGGCCTGCTTAGGGTCCCCGAAGCCCTCGAATGTCAATCAAGGGAAGCAATAAAACCTTCTTTTTTTTATCCGTGCTGGCTATCCCACAAAGCCAAATAGACCAAATCATGTGTGCCAAGTGAGTAGGGCTGATTATTATCTTTTTCAGAGCCTCGAGGTTGCTTCAAAGTTTACATTTGTCATTGTCCCCACTGTGTATGCAGTCCCCCATATCACTTTCGCTAGTCCAAAAGGTATCCCCAGAACATTAGTGGTCGAGAACCAGAGTACCCAGTATCGGGAAGTAGTTTAAGAACAAACTACTTCAAATAGGTTTAGAATACTTGTGCTCTACTTGAAGTACATTCTTTAGTATTAAAAAATTCGAACACCAACCAAGCCCTTCTGTAGGGGTCCCTACAGAAGGGCTTGGTTGGTGTTCGAATTTTTTAATATTAATTACTCCCAACCAGACAGATCTCTGTCAAATGTTTACTTTTAAATTCTTTAGTATGCACTTCGACATTACTTAAAGTACTTTTTGTCTGGTACTTTCCGAGGAAAGTACAGCTCCCGACTAGAGAGCACATTCCCCAAATTTGGTCTTGTTAAATTTGTATCACAAAATGATGCTTTGCGAACTCTGAAGCCACTTGACTTCATCCAATATTCGTCGCCATTTCCAAAAAAAACTAATGCACCCCCAATTACCCCTGGGGCAATGCGTACAAGTTTAAAAAGAAAACACTGCTTAGAGGAATGAAAAGGCATTATGAAAGTTGCGTTAATAGGAAAGATCGAGGTACACCTAAGCACTTCTTATGAGTTGTGAGTGCAAAAGCATGTACATCATTCTTGCTGTACGCGTGTTGGCGCGCTGACTGGGCGCTGATGGACATACAAAACCATGGGGTGCTAGCCAATGAGATTGAAGTGGTGTAAAAGGTGCCGTGGCTAACTGGCGAATGGGAGCTGGCTCGACTTGAAGAAGGATTTAACAGACGTTTGGCATGGTTTCAGAGCTGATGACGTCCCCTTGCTCCATGAGACAGTTAATGCTTTTGCATTAAAAAGTGCTTGTACTTCAGTTTGAAAGTATGTTGTATTTATAGTATTTCACGTCAGGTACATCCCTCTCGTTTACTCTGTACTTTACTTTGAAAGTATGTTGCATTTATAGCACTTTACTTCAAATGCACTGCACCCCGTGTCGTTACTACTTTACTTGAAGTACATCCCTCTTATTTACTTTGTACTTCACTTCAAGTACTTTTTAGGTGCACTTTACTCAACACTGAGAGTACCTTCCCCGATGTCTCGGCATGCCACACCAATGTTTTACTGGCTGGGCAGTGGAAATTTGTGTTGCACGGTGCTTTCCTAAGCAACTCTTGTACCAAGTAAACTTGGACATTCATCGAGGAAGTCTTTGCTCGATGAAAAGTTGCTGGTGATAAAATGCATCAACTGGCGAAAGCTGAATAAAGAAATTGAAATATAACTACACATATCTGTCAGTCGCTTTTTTTTTATTCTGGGACTCCACTGCATTTGATTCCCACACCATTGTTTGCCTCATGCCACTCCAAAGTAAACAGGATTGTTTGTCAAGAGTGCAGGGCTACTTCGGAATGTATCTGTGGCTTCTACTCGTAGCCACTGTGCACAGGTGCTGGCTGAGACCCATAAAACAATGTGGTTGGAGCTGAAGCTTTATTTTGATGTCTTTGAGAGTGAGCTACCTTGAGACACTCTTAACGCAATCTCTTGGTTTTGTTTCAGGTTCTGGATGCTTGAACCACAAGGTCACGCCGGATGATACGATGTAAGCACAATTTGGGAAGGACAGAAGCCACGACAATATACAGCTGGGTTTGATGTCTGGTGTGCTGGACCCTCCGCTTCCCACCTGTCGACGCACGAAGGCTTGTGGCTCCACAAAGAGACCTGGGCTAGGTTGTTTTTGTTTTAAGCCAGGCACTGGAAAGGCAGGAATGCCACTGGGGTGGCCGTTGTAAATACGCTGCTCACAGCACCACCTTGTTTTGCCCTCCTTGGGATTGTACATACATTTTTATCAACTTGTTCAAGAATCCACACTTTTTTTCTTTAATAAATAAAACAAATTGTGTTCACTGTTGCAAGCACGTGTTGTCGATTTCTTTTTGAACATTGCAGGTGAAATGGAAAACGCATATTGCATTGGAGTGTATAGCTTCCGACCTCGAAGTACACGTACCGTGCGGCCCAACCTGTTCACATTTCCTGCGACAGTGTAACCTTGCACCGCAGCTGACCGACGTAAACACGCACATAGTGTGATCGAAACTGCGGTGACTGGTCAAAAATCACGCAGTTCCAACAAAATAGGTTGACCGAGGAATTTGGGATACGCGGCGATTTTTGCGTCCTACTGTCGGTATTTTGCTTTTACTTTTTTTTATCGTTCGAAGATAGTGGTTAATCGCGAATTGTAATGGAACCGCATTTGAAAAGATAAATACCGATACGCCCAATTCCACGTAGAGCTAGCGGGCTGCTGCTACACGTCGCACATAGTCCACGTAGGCGGAACAAGTTTTCATTTTTACTTTTATCTCGATCTCGCCCTGATCGTAGCTACACTCGCTTTAGACGCTGTCAAACGCCAATCGAACACTCACAAAAAAAAAATAAAGTAATACTTATAAAAGATCCCACCGAACCTTTTCGCGTCCCGCCACATCAGATGCTGCGTGCCAGATATCTTTGTGCAACTTTCCGGTTAGGGTTCATGAACCCATTTATGGAAACGCACGCGAACCTTGGCCCTTCCATTAACGGGCTTTAATTTCCGCATTCGATCGCGCTTAATGTCGATGAAATTCATTCGAACGATGCGAGTATCAAGCACAACGGTCCACAACCAGCAAACGCCAGCGGCCCGTGGCGAAAGGTCGCCACTTGTCATGCTGGCGAACGCTCGTGCTCTGGGAAAAAACATCCACAACAACACGTGATTCTCTGACTCCGCCCACTAGCTATGTTTTCTCGCCACCCGATTGGCTGACACGTGACGTATCAAATGTTGCTTTCTGCGGATCCTAATACCTACCTTGCCAATGGGTTAACTTGTTCAATTTTCGAGCACAAATGCGAGAACAACAAAAGTTAATTTCTCTGCAAATTTAATATTTTGCAGTGCACCTCAATCTTTAAAGGTATTTGCTCGTTTTAAGCCGTCAAGAACATAGAGATCATATACTAAATCTAGAGGAAAAGGTCCGCCATTTTCCCATACATTCTGGCTGCCGCAAGCGGCGGACCGTGCAGGCAGACCCTCTGGGTCCCAAACACGGTTACATCATCAAAGCAGTTTCGTGAACTTCAACAATCCACGAACTTAAAGGTGGAAAAATACTCGCGTTCCTTTCGAAGGTTTCTTTTTGCATAGCGCGCAGATGTACGGCCTCGCGTTAACGCTAAACTAAACCATATACCCGGCTTCGCTGGTGGGGCGCGGCTGAGCGCGGTTGAGGAATACGAAACTGCGCAACCACCAGATTTCCGAGATTTCGACAGAAGGGAAGTTAATGCAGCGTAATGACTTTATTGCTTTTTATAAGCGTTAGAATAGCTCAGAATTTAGTTTACAACGTTAAATTATCACTGTTTATATTGCTGAGAGTTTTCACTCTTCGTGTTTACCATGGCAACGTTGCTTTCTTTCTCTCGTGTTCTGTCGCTCTCTTTCGCGATCGTTCACTCGGGACCCAGGATGTCGGCGCACGGGATTTGCCACTCCTCCTCACCCACCTTTACCCCCCTGGTCAAGAATGAGTACGCTCGAGTAAACAAAGGCGACACACTGGTTACGTCACAGATAAAGAAATTGACATTTTTTCGTGCTAAGATCGAGAATATAATATTTGAGAAAGTGTTTTACTTGTATCGTCTTCACAGAGGGCCTGCGTTTGGTTCACAATTCGCCGTTATTTTGGAAATCACTCCACATGAAAGTCAATAGAGGTATAAGGCCTCCTCCGTGTGGCACGTCAATCACAGTTACCACGTGGTGCGTCGGCATACTACGGGAGTGTTCTGCGAGTGTTTTGATGAGCTCCCCGCCATCTTGGGAGGAAAGTGTTCTACATTGGTGTGCAAAAGGACGTGTAGTACGCGAAATCCACGTCCGAGATCGGCTCCGCTTGCCTGTGGGATTCTTCGGGAACTGCTCTACGACATGAGTTTGGACACCCTGCTTGAAGCCGCCAAATACATCGAATACAGATCGGAAGCAAAAGCACGTGGTAAGGATATTTCGTTTCAACAGTCCGCTTCGCCCACTGCGCCGCGGCGGCTCTCGGCTGGAATCCGGGCGCCTCTGCTCGGTCCGTTTCGAACGGAGCCGAATCTGAGGACCCGATCGGAGTCCCGGCGCTACCAGATTGCGTTTCCGGACGTTGCAACGGTCGCCCCGACGCCGAACAATGTCGTGCCTTGTGTCGGACGCCGCCGTTTTTAATACGGGCGTCCGGGGAGGAGGGGGTGAGAGGGGAGGGAGAGAATCCTGCACACGGCAGCAGTCAAGTTCACTGGACTCGTGCTTTTTCGGCCGAGCCCCGAGCGAGTGGGCTCGAGCTCGGGCTCTCTCGAGGCGCAGCATGCACGGGTTTCGTGCAACGACACAGAGCGTCTTTACATAAACATTGGCGGCGGCGGTCGTGTGACGAGTCTGCGGAACGCGTGGAGGTTCGAGGAGGAGCGGGGGGAGGGAAGGGGGTATTGTTTCTGCTGGGAGATATGCACTGTTTGCTGTCGGCCAGGCTAGCCTAGCCCGTTCGCTTCCTGCGCTGCTGGTCGGACCATTTTTTCTTTCTTTCTTTCCTCGTGCCATTTGCTGCCTCTGAAAAGGACCGTCGCACTGGAAGCGGTCGTGTTTTTTTTGTTTTTTTTCTTGCGGCGACCGACGCAGCCGAACGGCACGAGCGAGCGAGCGAGCCATCAAAGGAGGGTTTAGGGCGTGTGATATCTTTTGTGTGGCGGGCAGGCGACGACGATTTTTGCCTGCCTTTGCGCGTCGGACCCCAAGGAAGCCGAAGGCCCTCGACGCGTGTGACGCATTGAAGGCAGGGCCGTGCCGCCAGTCGTATTTGGCACCTCTCATTGGACCGTTTCCCTTTTTATTTTTTTTTCCATTCCTTTTTTTTTTCTCTCCCCGGTCATGCGAGCGTGCGCATGTGCTCGCCGCATGTGCGTTTTTTCGACTGTGCGCGCACTCCCTCTTTGTTTTTGTTGTTTTCTTTTGTCCGGTCGAGGGTCAAGCGTTTCGTCGTCGTACCACGTTCGGTCGTTTGCGTTGTGCGTTCACACCTGGTAGCTAACAAATGTTTTTCTTTTTGTGTGTGTGTGTTTAGTTGTGCCATTTTCCAGGGCTGCTTATGGATGTTTCTTGATAAAGTCGCTGTTGTTGTATTCGCGTTCCTTATAGGTGTTTTTTAATGTATTTATTTGTCATTATCATCTCCCGATTCGCAGGCGAAATCCCCCACGATTATCAGACCTTCGCTCTTCAGAGCAAGGCTGTCGCAGCAGAAGAGTACCGGGCCCAGCAGCAGCAGTCGAGGCAACAGCTGCTTCAACATGCGTCGCGCTGTGACAATAATTCGTCGGACTCGTACTCCTCCAATCATTTCGACGACGGCAAGGAGAAAAGGAGGTCTGGAGGGTGCGTGTGTGTGTGTGCTTTACGCCCGTCTCTGTGGATCCCGTCTCTTGGCCGAGCCCGCCGGCGCGGGCTTGAGTCTTTGCCAACTCCATTTCGATACCTGTCACGTTTTACCTCCCACCACCTTTTCTACTCTTTTTTTTTTAATTTTTGCTTTTGATTCCTTTTTATTCATGTATATACTTTCGCCTATGCAAGCTGCGGCTTATCTCGCACTTTGGTCACGAAGTTGCTTTGATTGGCTCTTATTCGTGCGTTGACCTGGCTGCTTTCACCTGTTTTGAATTGAATTAATCTTTTGTTGTAGGCTTTTGTTAAGTCTATATGAGCTAAAGAAAAACAAACATAAAACGAAGAGGGCCTTACCTCTGAAGCAATCTTTTTGCTTTAAACCCAACGGGTTTGGTAAAAATATAGAAAGAAACGCAAAGATAGGTGTTTGATTCAACAGGAGTTAGTGTGTTGCATAACTTGCCTGCATTACGAAAGGACGATAAGGAAACAATTTTTTTTATGCGCTGTAGATTGAGTTTGACTTCAGTATGTGAAGAGGAATGCATGTCATAAGCAGGCATGCAAAAATCGTGAATCTTTTCAAAAGTACATAAATCTATTTGAAGACATCCAAATAACATTAAGCTAAAAATCCCACCCAAATGTAACAACTTGCAGGGACAAAAGAAAATAGTGGAAGATACATGTTTTTGTAATATGTGTTGGAAGTCCTTATTGAATTTTTTGTGGATATAAACTGTTCAGTGAACTATAAAGAGCTTCATGGGTGAGAACATGTGCCAAATGCCACTATGAAGGTCGAAATCTAAACCTGTCAGTTGCAAATGATTTGCTTAAAAAAAAAAAAAAAAGAAAGAAAAAAAAACTAAACAAATGGCATTTTGTTAGGATAATATTTCTTGAAACTATATTTAAAAAAACAAGCAAACTACCGGCCCACGGAGATTATCTTAGCCCTGTGGTAATGTAGTGATACCACTTTGAGGCGCCTAAATATCAATCTTCAGCAGTAGTTCAGTGCGTTGTATGGCTGGGCTAGCATACTTTGCTCAGTAGGTGACGCAGGGAACACTATCTTTAATCAGATGCATATGTGACGAAGTAGTGGCACCAGCTGCAATGTCTTGAACCGCAAAGACAGATATGCTGTATTGAGGCCATAAACTTTCTGGTTTTGACATAAAAGCGCCGATAAGCATGATGTCAAACGTACCAATAAACATCTGACGTGAAAAGGTTTCGGAAATTTTTGTTCCAGCTGGGATTTTAATCAAAACACTCTCCTCTTAGTTTTGCATTAGATGTTTCTCAGCTTTAATCACCATTTTTAGCGTCCATCCGAAACAGACTACCAAAATACAATATTAAAAAAAAAAGTGAAACTCCAGAAAACTTTTTCGAGTTTTCTCATAAACATGGGAAAACCTATGTACTATGTAATTGTCTAATTTGGTCATAATTAACTCATTCGGTCATAATTAATTAATTAGGTCACAAACTTCAGGGACAATGACATTTCATTTGCCTTGTTTGATGCACCTAACAATTTATTATCCTAACACTTTTGGGAATATGCTCTAGCTTCTGTTCAATGGGAAATTTTCTGGGTATGGGGTCGTTGCTGCAATACACAAGAAGTTGTAATTAGATGTTCACTTGTGCTTTCACTTTTCACTAAGGAGAGTTTCCAACTTGAGCACAGGTCCTTACTGCATGCCCAGTTTGCTGCAGTTTGTTTTATTGTTTTTATGGTGCATTTTGTCAAAAATGCTCACATTGTACATCCCTCCTTCCATCAATTAGGGTCACTAACTATGCCTCGGAAAAAATTATTGATAGCGGGATTGCTTCTCTATTGATTTTTTGTGCTTGCAGTGCTGGGACCAGGGAAGTTCACAATAAGCTGGAAAAAAATAGGTGAGTTGTCCATCTTTTTTTATTTCCCCTCCTATTTGTTAGCGTCTTCATTGTTTTTCTATGGGGTGTGTTACTGTACATGTAGATACATATCTGTCGTCGTGAGTCCACATTTGTATTCCATCTGTGTCCACTTTAAAAACTTTTGTTTACTACCGGGGAATGGATGTCAAACGCTGGGTGAGGTAACAGCTGTTGTGTTTTTTTATGACCCAACAATTCACAATGTCTCAAGAAATTTGGAACGGCGTGCAAAAAAAAAATGAGGACAACAAGAGTAGAGCACAGGACAAGCTTGTCCTGTGCTCTACTCTCGTTGTCCTTGTCTTTTTTGCGCGCTGTTCCAAATTTCTTAAGTCATGAACCAACTCGCCTGCATTGCCACCTTAACACGCTGTCTCTACTAAAAAAAAATACTGAAGGCTTTTTTTTTTTTCAACTTTAAAGAGGTTTTGACTATACCGCCCAGTCTTTTGATCTAATAACAAATGGTGCAAAACCGTGCAAGACAATAGCCCTTATGAGAGTTACTGAACAGGCATGAAGGCCTTTGGAAAACAAATGCGCACTAATTTCTTTTGCTCAGAGTTGTCGCTACTAATGCATTGAAATGGCTGTTGCATTTGTCCTAATTCTTTTACTTGGGCAAAAGCTAAGAGTATACCTACACCTTTCGTTTCCGTACAAACACAACAATAGCTTCCAAAGACTTTTTTTTTTTCTCGTGAGGGCTAGTTTTGTTAATAGTGTTATCATGATGTGCTGACCTAATTTGACAACTTGGCACTTGAATCGGGGTAGCGCCATAGTCTGGTCTTGTCTGAAACGCCATCCAGCCAACTTGAAATGAGCTTAGATTGTAGAAACCTGCAGTGGCTGCAGGAAGATAACCTGATTGGGGTGACATGTACCTTATCAGTGCCCTTACCTAGGTCAGGCTTGGTAGCAATGTTGTACTCCTTCCTTATCAATGCTCCCACCCTGGAACAATAGACATGACTGTACGTTGAAACATGTTTGTAGGTCCGATTTATAATTATGTTTGACTGGTTTCAGGGAGAAAATGCTAAAAGGAAATATGCACATTTTCTGGGGGGCAAAACTCTGAATTTTTAATCAATGAAACTTGTTTCTTTCACTTTGACATTTCCAAGAAGTCAGAGGATTTTTGAAGATTCCTGATTCTGGAACATTCATTGCTTATGTATAGCTTTGAGTCTGTAGACTTTGAAGCGTAAGGGTCATTTTGTTTTTAATGTAACTTTAAAAGCATTAATGTTTGCAGTTAAAACAACTAGGAAAGGAAAGAAACTTCCAAACCAAAAGTGGTTGTTGCTTGTCAGAGCTGGCAATTGCAGCTAAGGAAAGTTAAAATAGTTCATTAGCACCTCGATAAAGATGGAAAACGCCACCAGTGCCCACCACCTTTCATTTCACTCATAATATGGACAAAGCTTGAAAGATGTACTACTACTCAGTCGTGTGCCCCAATTAATGTCCAACAGTGCGCAGTGTGTTGGTTGGCATTCGAATAGTCGTAGTATTATGTATTCCCTTTGGGTCAATATAATTTTTGGCTCTGCAGTAAGGCGGGGAACTCGTATCATGAATGCCTGCGGTGCCGTATCCAACGATAATTCAGTGACATAAAAAAATGAAAGAAAAGCTGCGACGATGGTTAAAATGTAGTCTGTGAACAAATTTGAAGGGTCGATGCCGTGGGTGGCAACAGCGCAGAGTTAGCGAGCGGGCAGCTTCCCAGGACGGTCGTTCTGGCCAGCCGACAGAATTTGTTGACTTGGGCTAACAATGTACATTATTATTGCACCCAGCCAAATTATATGTAGCCTACGGGTGCGAATTGAACACCCAAGGATTGCTCAAACCCGATTCAAAGGGTACACGAATGACACATCCCTTGTGGGGTTTCCGGTTTTTTGGGGGAAGGGGGGGGGGGGGGAGGGAGAGGAAGCAAAGCCAACCGCATGTGGGCTTTGCACGTCCTCACTGCTCGATGTCCCTGCATTACAGGAGAGCTCACCTGAAGGAGTGCTTTGAGACGCTCAAGAGGCAACTGCCTAACATGGACGACAGAAAGACCTCCAACTTGACCATTCTCAGGGGTGCCCTGCGCTACATAACGGTGAGCGGTCCGTGCATCGAACGCCCGCACACGAATAGCTAATTCCCGAGTCTTTTGTGCCCCCCCGTAACTTTCGACCGGTGGCCTCGAAAAGTTTCGAGCAACGTTGTAGATTGTGTACACCTAAGAGCAGTCGCACGTGTCTTTGTAAAAGAGAGAGGAAGTCTCGTCGGCACAAAGAAACTATGCGAGATTCATTGCGAGAAGCCAACGCTCAGAGGTGCGGTGCAAATCAAATTTTTCTGCGTTGTGAGAGTGGGCACCTTTGTTTGGCAAGCTGGCGACATTTGCAGCGACTAGTCGGTGTTCGGGGACAAATTTTCTTGGCAATGCAGTCAGCGTGCTTTCTCCCCTTTTTAGCGCTTATTAAAGCTGCACACGCTCCCCCCCTCCTTATCCCCCCTGAAATGCTAACACAAGTTATCCATCCTCACCTTTAGTCATGCTCGACAGAATCGTTGTGCGTAGAATATGTTTTTGGGCAGTGAAATCTCTGTGCAATTGTTTGTGTGCCGAGGCACCTAGCGCGACTTTCGATGGGAACATTGTTGGTTGTCGCTATGGTCATGGGATCGCTTATGCCCACCAGTAGAAGTGGGGTGCTGCCCGCGACAGAACCACTTACGCTGCTGCAGTGACGTGACTTTTGCGTCGCGCCTTCACTGAGTTATCCTCATCGGAAACACAATTTACGTTGCAAGACCCTTTATTGCCTCCTTTTTTGCCTTTAAGAAGGCCAGTGGAGGGTGACGGGGGCCGTGGTTGGGGCCTCGCAGAGCCTAAAGCGACGTGAGCGGGAGTACGAGCACGAAATGGAGCGACTGGCGAGGGAGAAGATAGCGGCGCAGCAGCGGCTGGCAGTTCTCAAGAAGGACCTGTCCCTGCAGCTGGACTACCTGGACATGAGCGCCATCCTGCCCGACCAGGACAACGAGACCACCACCACGGCCTCCGGTGGGGATCCCCGCGCCTCGCTCCCCCTCCTTTGCTCTGTCCCTCCTCCGAACTTGGGTGCATGCATGTCACGTCGTCTAGCATCTCCTTAATCTGGACACCTACGTCGCCCCCAAAAATCGTCCGTAATGCGAGTTGCCCGTAATAGTGATAAAAGGATGCACGTATTTATCCAGTTCGTCCCCGAAAATGTTGTTTGTATAGCAGGGTATCCATATTAACTAGACATGGCCATATTCCTTATTTCGGGAACAGCGCCTGGAACGCGTCTGACCGGCGTGTTTAACGTCCTATATTCCGCCCATGCATCAAAGGTTGTATCTATGTAGCAGCAAACGACTTAACGATCCTGGCCGCCACACAAAGAAGTTCTGGCAGAAAGTATGAGCGAACGTGAGCGTCGCCGTCGCGTTCCAACTCTCGACCGGCGAAGCTTTTGTGGTACCGTCTAGCTGGAGAGTGATTTGCGGCGGAAGGAGCGTCTTCTGCAGCCGTGCCACCTCGGGGATTGCGGCAGGCGACAATGCGACACCTATGATGTCATTGGGCGGAACGCGAGTGTCCACATTTGGGGATGCAGTAAGCACACCAGTCGGACACGCATTCCGGGCACCACACTTCGGTAGATGGATCGGCATAATCGGCACTGATGTAGAGTGCTGAAGCTTCGCTCGAGGGGGAATGTTGCAGAAAGTCCCGTTTTCCGTTTCAACGCAACGACCTAAGCACACGGGAAGGTTTCTGCAGTTGAGGTAGGGTCGCAGTCAAGCCGAGTCGTGCGAATGTGACTGCTGAATTGCCCCTTAGGGGAGAAGGTCGACCATGTGGGTGAAGACGAGATTTAAGGGTTATTTGACCGCTCGCAGATACGAAACATTTGGAGCGGGGGCTGTCAAACTTTTCAATCTCGAGGAACCACTCCCGGTGTCTGCGTCGATGTAATAATGCTGTGCAGAAGTTGCAGACCTTGCAAACAATAAGATGCTCACTGAGGAGTGTTTGACTCATGGCTTTGTGCACCAGTAAGTAGCTCACACCTGCTAACATAGCGTATAAACTGGAAGAACACTTCTCTTTGAGACAGGGATTGTTGAGGAAAGTTAGGGGAACCCAGGGTTCCCTAAAGTATGTTGATAGGTTCCTCGGCCACCCTTCCACAATGAAGTCCCAGTTTAAGCACAATTTAAGCAGATCCACGCTGCCAGTTCACATGCAGCTATGTGCCAAGCACTCCCTAGTAAGCATATTATTGTTTACAAGCTCTGTAGTAAGCATATCATTGTTTACAAGCTCTGTTGGCTGCTGCACGTTTTTATTACATTGATTCCGAGTCCAGGAGAGCTTCCTCGGCCGTCAGTCAAGGGTGATAGGAATTCCTTGAAATTGAACAAAATTTTTGCGAACCTCGAGCCGTTTTTTTTCTGCCAGGGCCAATATTTACAGCCGCCTTTCAGAAAGTAAAAGTCTGACAGGACAATAGTGTTTGTCTCATTTGTAGAGTTAACATTTATTGAATGTTCGCACTGATGTTATGCAAGAGCTGGAGCACTCAGTGCAGCACTTTACCGGTGCCAGACGAGAGTGCTTTGCCGGCGTTCATTGACACCTGCCTCTGCTTTCAGAGTGTGGTAACTACAGTGACCTGGACGAGGACCTGGAAGCCGCCCGGGACAGGTCTCTAGCACGGACCTGTCCGTCTCCCACCAGATCGCCCAAACCGACATTGGCTTATTTATGTGACGCGGTCGGTGAGTGCTAAACTCAAACACACCTGCTTGCTTGCTTTTTTTTTTTTTTTTTTTAAGGTCTTGTGTGGAGTAGATGCTTTGATTCTATGAGCCGTCCTTGGGTAACCACTCCAAGAAGGGTCGTACTGTGGTTGTGAAAAGGACGAGCATTGCATTGCAGTTTAGACAGTTACAGTCAAATCTCGTAACGAATTTAACGGGACTACCGAAAATTGTTCGTTACTCTGAAATATCGCTATAGTAAAATTATAATAGATGGGCACTATATGAAAATTAAATTGGACGAAAGAAACAAACTATTTCTGCAACGAGATTGCACTCATTAGTTTCCAATCAAAAAAAGGATTACAGGCGATGGAACACTGCATATTTATTAGAAGAAATATGTAATATCTTTTTTGGTAGGTGCAGCACAAACACAGGAAAATGAAATTCCATGCCGTTGAAGTTTCTGTCAAGTGCGTCGGTAACATTGGTGCAGCTTCCCAGGAACATGCACAACTTGCTGATTGCACTCAAGACATCGGAGGTGGAGGCGGTTTCATCCTCTCAATCTGCGAGCGCTGCTCCCGCATCTTCATCAATCTGTATTTCCTCGTCGCTGCAGTGTTTCTTTTTGCGGACGTTGCTTTGAATGTCGTCGGTCGTCAGCTCTATCCGACGTCCACGCTGCATTATCACATCGTACGTGATCCCCGAACTCCATTAGAGGGTGGAGTAAAGCAGTCGACGCTAGTAACGTGGTGTTTCCATGGGATAATTTAGGGATTGGATACCTCTGCAGCCATTAATCGTTTTGTCCACATGTCAGATTCTAAGAGTTGTAAACCAGTATTGGAGTGCGTCCTGATCAATAACCAGAGTGGTACTAAACAAGGACGTTACTTTTGCCTTTTTCCACTCTGTTGTTTGTTGTTAAATATGGAAGCCAGAAACCATATTACACTCAGGCAATGAAGCCAAAGCTATGGGTACTCGTGCGCTTGCACACCTGGAGTGCCAATCAAAGCCCTGCACATACAGTCTTCACTTCTGAAATGCCAGATAGTTGTCCCCAAGTATAGGCAAGGTGTGCGACTACAGCACAAATCTAAAGGTAAACGAGCCTCAGAAGAGCGGGTTCCACTTGACACTGTGTCCTCCTTTCTCTTTGCAGGTAACTCTGAAAATGGCAAGCCAGTGAGCAGCAGCATTGTGAATGTCTCGAACAACAAGCCGGTGGCTTCCACCAGCAGCATGACGTCCCTGGTGGCGAGCTACGGCGGCAGCCACCCCTCGGCCACCACAGGTGCCACCGTCGTGGTGTCCAGCGGCGTCGGGGCGGCACCCGCGCAGACGGTGGTGAACACACGGGGCCTGGCGACCCTAGGGGTGGCACCCACGCCATCTCTAGCTAACAGCAAGTGCGCCACGGCGTTGCTGGCACCCAGCACCACCGCCAACCTGGCAACCCTGGTCACCTCGCAGCAGGTGGGAGGCCCGCTCCTCTCAAAGTGCTTGAGAGGGGGGACGGTGGGCCACACCATGGGCTCGATGGTAATTTGCCTTTCTCCCGGATAGAGCTGCTGAAAACGTTCGGCACAAAAGCCGTTCTTGTACCGACAGTTCCGCTCCGGCGTTTTCAAGGCTTTTGCTGTCATTAGAAGTCTTTCTGAGATTGGAATGTGCAGTTTACCGAAAAATCTCTAAATACGCTCTCATGGAAATTGTTTTGGGGGCCTGTTGTGGGTTAACTTTTGAAGTTTGTGCAAGTTGTCAGAAAGTACAAGATGTTTAGTCCTGCTGACAGAACATGATGCAGCCAGGTCTTTACAGCCAACCTCTCCTACGAACGGGAAGAAACTTTACATCCATTGAAAATATAATTATTTGGTTTTAGCCCTTCCCTGTGAAAGTATCATTGGCCAGATATAGCCCCGGCCTTCCACAGGTTGTAAAAGCATGACTTGGAGATCATCTTAACCAAACTCCGATTTGTTGTACGTAGAGATGTTTTTCAGCATGATGAATGCCTGCCTCAAGGTGTGACACCTTGTGGAGGGGCGTCCTAAAAACTCCTGGTCACCAGTTGTAGATGTTCCTCACCGTGATAGTTGACCCCACTTCAATGCACAAAGAGTGCAAGCTTTTCTCTTTTTTTTTTTTCACATACTGGTTAGGTTTTAGAAAACATCAATGCCACCTGCTGCTTAAAGTTTAGGTTCAAGTGAATCCTATCCTTTTTATTCTTGCCTTTCTTCCTTTTTCCGTGCCACACCCGTGAACGGAAGACTCGGTGTCGTGGCATCACGAGCATTCCACTGCCTCGCTCTTTACAAGTTTTAGAATCATTTTGCCTTCACTCTTAGAAATTTTCGCTACATTGTAGCCGAGGTGTGAGCTGGAACTTTGAGGTACAAGGGCCAACACTGTTAAAGGACCCATGAAACGAATTTTGGGCTGGAGTAAATCAATTTATATTGGGATTTTACTAATAGCACATCGTTCAGTGGGCCGAAAGAACAAAGGTAGAAAGTCAGAAGCCTGACTTTCGCTACGAAAATTTGCAAAACATAGCGGACTATTTCGTACCTCTTTCCCTTCGTAAACTCTCCGCCTTTTCACTGTGATACATCCGCGGACCCCGCAGCGCGTCACCGGGCTACTAGCCACCATAACCGGGCCCCCGCAGCGCGTCACCAGGGCCCAAGCGCATGTCACACGACACCGGACACCGGACCCTTTACCCCTAAGCTGACATTGCGGTGGAAGCTACGCGCTTGCCGGACCAATCAGCCGCCTCCCTTTCATCACCTGACCTCATTCTCTGTGGGTCGGTATGCACAAGAGAGCGTGATCACATGGAAAATGTGTGGCTGGCCCAACGAGCACGTAGCTTCCACAGCACTGTCAGCTTCGGGGTGAACAAGGGGGGGAAGCAGCTAGTCGGAATTTTGAGCGACGGGCTAATCTTGAGGGGGACAATGGCTGTGTCCGGCTACACAAGCGAGATTCCGAGCAAGAGGGGACTCCCCCCTTTCCGACTTCTTGAACTGTTTGGTACAATGCGCGATTTATGAGTTGAGGAGGAAAGCTAAACAGAAAAAAGTTGAAAAAGCGTTTCATGACTCCTTTAAGGTCTGTTCGCACGATGCATCTTTTTAGCGAGTCTTGTGTTAGAAAATTAGGTTTTGGCAAACAGACATGCTGTTTGAACGAAACAAAAGACATGCGCATCTGAAAAAATGGTGCACGCACTCCTCGCTCTTGGAACTCTTGACATCTCTGTGACGTCTGATCTTTGAGGTAAAGCAAGCTTTTGGAGGAGCCCGATTTTTAGCCGATCCCCTATTCGAGCCAAAGCTGCAGAAAAGAAAACAGACATGCGGGTGAGCAACAAGCGGAGAGGCGGTTCGTATGGGCGGTTTATGGGTTGGATGTATGGGTTTGAGATGCAGTTTAGATTCCTCAACAGTTACAAGGGCAAGCACTACACATAAACATGATGACTGGGAATAACCCATCTTTTAGCAGTGCAGATATTTACGGAATTTTTCACACTGTGCATACATTGTATCATTTGCCGTGAAACGCTTGATATTCCTGATGTGGATGACAAGTTTTGGTGAAATTCTTGCGAGTCACTACGTCACAGTTTTTGCACATCAAACTGTGCATAAACTAACCGACTGTGCAAAACTGTCTTGTGTTGAAAGAACGCACCATGAGAAATAAACCTTTAATGTGAAATACGACCGGCTTTTTGCCAAATTTTATTCGGACACAATATTGACGGCCACCAAACTTTACCACTTGATTTTATTGCCCAGAACGAGAACTTTCCGCCAAACTAGTTGATTTTACAGCAGCTGTTTAATTTCAAGGGAGCGGAAAAGGCCCACAATTGCTCATTTGTGCCAACACAGGTGCGCCTCGTACACGACATGCTCGTCTTCCTTGCAGCCCCAGGCGGCGACGACGGGCCTTGGCCTGCTGTCGCACGCGGTGACCAACAGCTCGGCCGCGACGGCTGTCCAGGTGGTCGCCAACCCGGTGGGCGGAGTCAAGGTCCTCGCTGGTCCCGCCCCCTCTTCCTCGCCGCCGTCGTCTACCAACAACGGGGGCCACCTGGTGGCCCTGACGGTGGCGCCTGCTGTGTCCACTCTGGCCCCCGTGGTCGTGGCTCCACCCTCTTCTACCCTGGCTGCGATGGCGTCTTCAGTGGCGCCCCCGAAGAGCCTAGTGCGGACGACGAGCGGGGCGAACGTGGGGCGGGCAGGAGGCGCCGGCACCGCGCCGGTGGCCTTGGTAACAGCAGCCCAGGCCAAGTCTCTGTTCCTGGGGCCCCACGGGGTGGCCGTGACAGCGTCCCCGGTTGGGAGTGGTGGCGTGGGCGTGGCCACGACGGGCGTGGTGCAGAGGAGGGGCCTGCCGCAGGTGCTGACTCCGCGGGCACTGGCCACTAGCACCGTGCTGTCAGGAACAGGTTGGACCTGCTTTGCTGTCTTATCTCGAAAAAAATGGGTGGTTCCTTACCGTGCCCCTTAGATGAAGTGGGACAAGAGCAGAGAGACGACTGCTCATGCGCACTGCCAGACACAGTTACGCTGCCATGTTTGAATTAAGCAGACAGGTGTTGATAGACGTTATGATGTCGTCCGACACTGTGGTGTCAATTTACATTGTGATGTCGTGTGACATTGTGTCATCGCATGAAGTGATCATGCGACACCATGACTTCACATAACAATGTGACTCCATGCGACACCAAATTTAATTTTGGCTCGCCTCGCATGACTCTGCGATTCCCCTCTAAATTTAGATGAGAAATTTTCCCGCCAAGTTCAGCAGGCCATGGTCCATGCACAGATACCTTAGGATGTGCTGCCGAACCTCACTGATAACGGTTATCGTGGTAAAAGAGAGAACTGCTCGTTTGCACAAGTGTCTCGTGGGAAATCCTATTCTGACATATCCTTGTGTAATCGTCATACATTTACTTTTTTTTATATAGGCAAATAAAAGTGCTGTATATGGAAAGCACCGTGTGTGCCTGCAATACCAGCTAAGCTGTGCGGTTTGTCCGGCGTCTTTAAGATGTCCAAACTTGAAGGTAGTTTGGCCCTTCAGAATTTGGAACAGTTGCTTGAAAGCCCCTTGCTCCCCTTCACCAGAATGCCTTTACTTTGGCATCCTTGGATATAAAATGTTTACATTACTCCTTAGGCAGTAACCAATTGTTATTAGATTGAGGGACATAACTGGACATAATTTCTGGCTAAATATCTGTAACACAAAAATTCCAAAACATCGCCCCCCCCATTCCCTTCAGACGTCACGCAATGTTCGATTGCATCGACCGCGCAGTTCGCTGTACCGGCACGTCTGACAAGCGAGTTCATAGCGGGTTCCAGCATTTTTGTTCACAGCGGGTTCCAGCATTTTTGTTCACGATCTGCGCACACAATATCGGCTCCCGTAACACGCGAATTGTTCGCGTGTGTACGTTGCACCGTGACATGCGAATCTGCTGTGTCCGCAATCTGTGGTATCCGTTCCCAGGACATAGTTTGTAGCAGATTCCCTCTTTTTTATCCGTGATCAGTGCTCACGATCTCGATGCCACACAAGTTGGTCCCATGTTTATATAGCATCGTGGAATACAATTCTGCCGCGTTCGCGACCTGTGGTCTTTGTTCCCGTAACATACGAGTTCATAGCGGATTCCCGCGTTTAAGGGAGTTTTCGTAGATCGTTTTTGCCGTCCCACAACGCACTCTGCACCCCGGTAAGATACCCGGAACTCTACTGTCAAGCCCATCGGCGCACAGGCGCAGTAGCGGCTTTTTCGTTACTGAGGACTTGGCGGAGAGAGAAATGCGGCGAAAACTCCATTTTGTCCGCGATCTGCGCACGCGATATCAGTTCCCATGACATTCAAGTTTGCAGCGGGTTCCCACGTGTTTATTGCACTATAAAACTTGAATCTGCTGCGTCTGCAATTTGTGGTCTCGTTCCCATGAAATGCAAGTTCTCCGCAGGTTTCCGCGGGTCCTTCGTTTCGTGAAACGCGAATCTACTGCCTCCGCAAGCTGCGGTATCCTTTCCCGTGACACAGGAGTTCGTAGCGGACTCCCGCATGTTTATCGCATTGTGAAACGCAAATTTGCATTGTCCGCGATCTGCGGTATCAGTTTCCGCGTCACGTGGTTTGTAGCCGGTGCCAGGGTGTTTATCATTAATTTTTGATAAAGTTTTGCTGTGGCATCTTTAAAGATATCCATCCCATGTTTTTCACCATTTATCTCTTCATTTTGGGTGCGCGTTCTTTCAGAGCTTTAGGGTAATCTGATCTCTTGAACTTTTATGCCCAGGGAACTTTAGAGTAGTTTAATGGGGATTTTATTAATCTGTGAAGTGCTGTTTGTATTGGTTCCAATGCGACTCTTTCACTGTCTGAATTTCATCTTAATGCATTTAACAGGAAAGAGACGACATGTTTTGTTTAATAATTTGGGAGTGAAACCTGGTGGTTCATAAATTTGTTGATAACGTTTTGGGTGTGCAGTTGACAAATGTTAAGAGGTTTCTGTTGGTGTTATGGAGTGGAAGATCCAATAAGGGTTTTATCCAGGCATAGTGCTCCTTTCAGTGCTCGTAAAGGTAGGTGAAATGGTCTCCGAAACGTAATAATCTGAAAAAGTTTTGCATTCATTGTGTAAGGAGTGCACTCAGGAGACATCTGGTGAGTGAATTTATTTAAAGCAAGAAAAATTCAAGTATGTCAAGTGGTTACGGTTGAAGTGAAGTGGCCTCACCACGCTTCAGAGTATGCTTGAGTGGGCTTTCTCTTGGAGGCCTCACCAGCCAAACGATTTCTTTTCCCGGTGCGCTCTGCTGCTAAAGCCCCTGCATCTGGGAAAAGTGGCGCATTCTCTTCCCTCCTTCTCCAGAAAACCCTCCTTACCCCACGTCTAACTTCCGGTTTGCGACGGAGGCGCCCTCTAAAAGTTCCCAAATGTCTCGACGTCTCGGTCAGCTGGAGTGGCGCGATGTCGGTCGTGTGGACGTTTCTCGTCATATAAGTATGGCAATGACCTCATTGGGAAATCGCTTTCGCATCTGACCGCCTTGAAGCTGCTTTAGATCTGTTTGTCCAACCGTGGATCCCAGAAGTGCTTTGTATAATCGTCCATACCAAGTTGCATTATCGGTCAGTGTGTCAGTGTCTTGTGGGTACCTAGATGTCTGCCGCTTCGGTTTCACAGGAATCGCAAATCATTTTTTTACAAAGTATCAAACTGCCAAATCGCTATTGCATTATTCACGATTTCAGATAATTCACTGCTTATTTTTGATGTGTGGAGAGGAAGTATACTTGTGCTTGTTGCACTGGCTTTGCTCGCACTTAGGTTGAATCGAGGTAAAGATACATCCACATGCTTGCGTCTGCAGCCACGTGAGCTTTGCAAGCTTATGAACTTTGTGCGAAACAAAGCATGGTATGCGAGCATCTGTGCCACACTTGACAAGCAAGCATACTCCGCTCCTTTGCACGCACCCGTAAGTGGGAGCGACACCGATGCTCCAAGCACGAGCAGGAGCAGGCCGTTTTGAACGATGCTTCTTCCACGGTATGGGCGTCTGTGCATGCGAAGTCGGCAGTGTTTTGATCGCTATTACATCGCTCGCGCTTATGGTGGAATGGAGTGCATAACTCGCTCTAAACAGGTGTCTCTTTGCATTCTGGTGAGCTTTATGCAGAGCACCTACATCGCATAACTTTGCGGCTCCCGTCGGGTTGAAATCTTTTCGACCGATTTGGTAAAGCAAGATCTTCCTCCGAGGTTCATTTTCCATTCCAGAGGGAACACTGAAAGGCTCTCCGGCCGACCTTTCCACAGGCCGGCGGCCCGTTAGCTGCGGCGTAGCAACAGCTTGGGAACGTAATGGTGACCGGAAGTCCATAACCGAAAGCAAGATGTCACGTGACGACTGGCCAATAGCGTGCGCAGTGGCTTGTTCAAAGAATGGCACCACTTTTTCCAGGATAGAGGGGCTTCATCTGGTGCAGACATGTAGTGCGACAGTGTGGCTCTCCTTGAAACTGACGTGCCTCAGCCAGTGGGAACCCTATCCATCAGATTTCGTATTTGCCGTTTGGCGCGGCAGCTGAGGACGTTGGCTCGTTCCATGGGGATGCTTTCGCATTAAAACCACCGTATGAAAAGGGCTTTTTTGAGACATTGAATTCGGACAATTCCCGAATGAATTGACTGACACGGCAACAATTGTGTGCTTGGTTTCTAGTTCTATTGAAAAATGTTGGCGGAATAGTGGTATTTTAAATCTTGTAATCACACTAGGTACTAACCCAAAGAATAGTTGAATGACAAAATCAAAGAGGAGGACGTCACTGGCAAAACAATGACATTACGAAAAGCTAATAACATGAGGTTTTCTATTTTAGGAGGTTTCTACATGTCGCTGAAAGACTCAGCTACTTTGCAACGTAAAACTCTATCTTTTTCTTTTTTTTTAATATTTTTTCTTTACTTTATGTTGGCCCTCATACTTTCAGAGGGTGGCCTATGTGGCCCCCACACTCTAATGACCCCTGATTTAAGCCATCCACTAATGCTACTGTTTATAGACCAGCACGCGGCCCTTACGTCACGGAGCTGCGGTGCCGCTGTCAACGGCACTGCGCAGGCGCAGAAGTTTTACTTCACGCGAATCCTGTTTTTGCGCACGCGCAGTGCACACACCTGGTGTGGGCAAACGCAGGCTTGTTTGTAAACAGCGTGTCGGTCTATACAAAATCTGCTGGCTTCTGCACTTGTTGATCACATCAGGGAGGGAACTCCTTGGCTATCGATTGAGAGACATAGGTGTTTCTCAAGATTGAAATGTTTGAGGGCCCTTGTTCTAAGCCATTGCCTCGATGGCTCGAAAATAGATTTGGGGCACTAGTCACAGCATCCATGACAGGGTCGCCCCTCCTCCCATGCAGCGGGCGCCCTCAAGCAGGTGCGTGCGGGCACAGCACCGGGTGGTCAGGCGCTCTCGCAGCTGGCGGCCCATGTGACCCACGTGGCGGCGGCCTCCTCCCCCGCGGCGGCCGTGGGCCAGCTGCCACTCATGGCACCCCTCTCGGTAGTGGGCCACCTGCCCGCCCTGCTGAGCCAGCAGTTCCTGTCGCCTGGCGCCAACCTGGGCACGCTCACTGGTGCCGCCTCGCACCACCACCACCACCACCATCACCACCACCCACACCACGCGGCGGGCGCCGCAGCGGTGGTCAAGCCCCTCGTCGTGGTGAGCCTGCCCAACGTAGTGGCCCAGCCGGCCACGCCCACCAGCGTCGGCACCGCCCAGTGACCCCTCCTCCCGCCTCCCGCGATTCAATCTGCCGCCGGCACCCACCGCTGCTGTCGGTTCGGTGCGGGACTCAAACTGCAGCGTTGTTTGCCTCCTTGTTACCATTTTCACCCACGTCGCCTTCTGTGCTGCTGTGGCTAGTTAGGCGTACCTCCTCTCTCTCTCTCTCTCTCTCTCTATCTCTCTCTGTCTCTAACTTTTTTTCTTTTTTTTTTTTGTCACAGTTTTATGGTGTTGTGAATGGAATCGGCTGTGCCCTTGTTTGTCGCGGAATGGCGCACCCCGTTAGCTTTTCATATGTGCTCTTTGTACTACCAATTGTGACTAGTTAGCCAACCTTTCTCTCCTTGCAGCATACTTTTTTTTTTTAATTTATTTATGAGACGGTTTCTTTCTGTTGCATATGATGCAATTTGGACAGTCGGCTTCTTTGGCACAACAGACAGAAGATTATGCGGTGAGACGTCGGCGTGCAACCGTCTAGCGACCTTTCTCTACCGTTCGGTGTCTGGGTTTCATCCGTAGCGGTGCCTCGAAACTTCGAGGGCGGTTCGGCCCGTCCTCCGAACCTTCGTCTCGCCGGGCGCTCGGGAACCCTGGCTCTGCGACCTCTCCGTCTTCTCTAGTCCCTCCCACGCAGTGATTTTGGCCTTTGTGGTTTGACTAGACTAGGTTTGATGTGGTTGTCGTCAGGTGTGCCTAGCCTCCCTCTGGTGGTGCGGCGTCATGGCTTGCTCGTCCAGTGCGTCGACTTCTTTCTCCCAGTCGAGCCTGCCGACGTTCGCCAGTCTCCTTTTTGCACTTCCAAAGGAGGAAGCTCGCTAAATGTCAATCTAGGCCCGATTTTTTTCGGGTGGGAACTCCTCGGCTTTCCTGACGCCGTATTCACGCCATCGTCACATTTCCTCTCGTGTTTCGAGACTGTCAGTTCTCTCCACGAAACCCGAGGGAACGGGACGGGACGTGCAGGTCCGTTTGCGGTGTCCATCGCGGAAACGGGCACGGCATGTGCTTCCTAGACATCAGTGCGAACCTTCTCAACTCTCCGCCTTGATTGCTTTCTAGTCTGTTATTTTATTAGTTGTGCTTCTCGGTTCGGATAACCTCGGTCGGAGAGGATGCTGTTCGTTGTCGTCTCTGCCCCGGAGGTGCTAAGGATGCCGAATCCTTCAGGGAAAGTGCTTTGAAGGAAAAGAATCGTGCAAAGCCTGCGAGGAATTTCGTTTAATTGCGATATAAGGGAAGCTGGACTTCTGTGGCGGTGTGTGCACGAGACTATCTCAAGAGTGGGCGAGTGCGATGCAGGCAAATGTAGCAAGTTGTAACCCTCTTTTGTAATATTTTTTTTTTTTTTTACTTTTTTTTTGTTTAAGTGATTTTGGGACGACTTTTTGGACTTTATTATTATTTATTTTCTGGCAGAATTGCAAAGCAAGTCTGCCTTTTCGTTTTCGTCTCCTGTATCGCAGCAGTCTCTCTCTCGGGTTGCTTTTTTGCGTCATTGGCAAAAATGGAAAATCGACAAAGTTCTCTCGTGACTGCAACTCACATTGACCACTGTTTTGTGTTTCAACAAGACTTGGCCCGACACCTCCTGCTTATGTCATTCAAAATGATATTGTATCTTTGACGAGCCACGTCGCACGTGTTGCATGCTTTTTGTTAACTAATGACACTACATCACAAAACAAAACGAAAAAATTTTAATTCAGCGGCTTTTTACGTTTACCACTCTTCCAGTCGAGTAGGAGGCTTTGGGTAGACGGTAAATGTAGCGATGAGAACCTGTTAGACCGTATTCACGATGCTTTCCAAGTCCGCCCCTTCAAGCTTCGGTGTGCGGGCCGATAGTTACTTTAAACATCTTCATTTGTGATTGTCGCCAGGTCAGCCCGATTGCGCACTTTCATTGTAAATTATTCGGATGACTCTCGGTATGGTTTCGTTGCACGCGTAATTTATTGTTTGCTCCTCTTTTTCCCCTTCTGTCATTTTTTTTTTAGTTTTTGGATACAGAGTAGTTTCTAAAATGTTGCCTCTTCTTTTTCTGCATAATTTATTGCGTGCGAAGGCATGCACTTGTCTCGAATTTCTTGTTCACAGGGAGGCGCGCATGTGCCGCGGTAACGCGTCGCTCAGTTCCTTACCCCCGTACTGCACCTCAAGCGATCGGATCTGTTTGTTAGACGGGTCTTTTTGTTCCATTGGCGCACGTCGCAACCTGGCCAGCAAAGCCAGTCAGCCTGCTGAATCTCGCTTAGCAAGACGACCGGGCGTCTCTCCCCTCGGCAGGGTGAGGCGTCGAAAGAGGAGGACAGATTTGCCGAAATTAGACTGCAACGAGAGGGCGCGGAATCTTGCCGGTGTCGGATACGGGCGGAATTCACGAAACACTCTGAGCAGCGTTGCACTCGGCGGGTTCGAGACGAACCCATGCAGTAACTGTCTGCAAAAGAAATCGTCTCCAAAGTGTGTCGCAAATAAAGGGGGGAATGGGGTTTCTCTTCTCCGTTTTCTTCTTCTCTGACCCGCAGTGGACATAGGCCGCTCGTAACCACATCACCTAAATTAAATGTCTTTATTAACTCGCTCATCAGCAACGCTCACCTCATCTCTCTACGGCGGCCGATCGAGCAATGCCCTTACAGCACGCTGTGTGTCTGTGCGGTGTCTTTGTTTCTCTCTTTCTCTCTGTGTGCTTGTACATTCTTGTTGGCAACCGTCGTGCTGCATTGTTGAAGTGTGTGATCCCACCTCCTTTCTTACATTTCCAAAGGAGCAATATTAAATTATTGCGGTGCCGTTGTAAAATACCTTGTAAAGAGTAACCAGAGTGTGCGTGTGGCTGTGTGTATCCGTGCGTGTGCATGTTGTCATTCTTTGGCTGAGAGTGTAACTTATTCGTCAGCTTTTATTACAGGACGGCGTGCATCGCTAACCTATTTATGAATGCAGCCCTTGTTTAGGTAACGGTACTGTACGCGTTGGTGTAGACGAACGAATGTTGACATTCCATGTACATATTTGTGTAATATAAAAAGAAAAGAAAAAAAATCTTTGTTTACCAGAACCTGGTCTCGTTTATTTACCGGTTGAATGAAACGGAACGCTCGCAATGCCTGCTGTTTATGAGCGTGGAACAAGGAAGCTTTGGCAAGTTCGGGCAGCGGTTTGGGACAAAACAGGTACAAAACGAGGTCGAGATGTTACTCGCAAAATGTGTTCATCCTGCAAACCTCGCTAATCCTCGATACCTTATGGATATGGTGCTGTTGCTAAGACCGTGTTGGCTTATAGGGAGTATTCGCTGGTGGCCATAACTGTGTGCATGGCCGTTGAGTGCATGCTGACAGCATGCTTCCACAGTTTTTTTGCAACGTGTATTCTGCACCGTCAAGATTACCGGTCTTGGCAACCTAGCAATGCGAGTTTATCTGAGCATGGGGGGCACTCTGAACATCGCCCTCAAATATGGCGACCAGTGAACAGCCCCCATAAGAGCAGAGTGAGGATTCGGATCTCTCCTACGTAACAAAATATAATATGCCGTGTTAAAATTTTCACGTGAAACATCCTTTGTCTGGAGAGGGGATCTAAAAATTTGTGAAGCCTGAAAGTGAAGTCGCCGATCAACTCGATGCTGAGTGGCTGAGCCAGGTGCCGTCGCACCTCCTAGCTTGACGCTGAATGGCTGGTTCAGGGGTGACGTCGCGTGCAAGTTCACGCTTGTTCGACACTGATTGGCCACCGCTTGCCCACTGGACGGTGGTTGGATGTTGTCGGAGAAACGCCTGCAACTATGGAGGGCGCGCCGGTGCGCGTACTGCAGCAAGTGCCAACATGCGTTGCCCCATGTTTTGTTTGTTTTTCGTACGTATGTCCGCGCACGGTCCCTGTCTGCCGTCAGTTGCTTCTGGCTTTTTACTCGTGGATTTAGCGGTACAGCACAAATGAACATCGTGGACGTGATTGTTGATGGGGTAACGAAGCAAGTGACAATTCCACAGGTATGTTTCGCCAAACTCTGATTGGCCGGATTGAAGGATAGTGGGTAGACCTCTAAGCAATCTGCCTTGAGGTCCTTCAATCAGAGCCGATCAGAACTCGGCGTTCTGACGTCATCACAACCCCTGACACAAACTTGCGCTGCGAAGTTCACAACTTTAGAGTGCTCCTTGCCACCGCAGCAATCGTCGTCCTCGCTGTCAGAAGAATTCATAAAGTGCTGCTGCGAGGAGTGTTCGTTTTCACGAAGCCACCGTATCTCGATAGCGCGTCTGCTATTCCCGCCATCATCTCGATTCCCGCTCCTGGCCGCAATGCCTGATGGCACTGGCACTGCACCCTGGTGCACCATCGATTTTCTGGTGCACCATCGAGGGTGCGCTCAGTTAATCGAGAACGTCCGGTGCACACCAGTGCACTTGATCGAAGACGACGGGGCGCACCGGAACAGATGATCAGGATGCTGCAAGAACGTTGGTCGCTCGCACCCACATGACGTTGCGCGGGAATTTCAAATAACGCTTACGTGAAACGTGACATCACACGTGGAATGAATGAATATAAAAAAATATAAAAAAATGTGATGCGAAATAAAGGTTGCCGCATGTCTCAAATGACATCAATTTGTAAAGTAATATATTTGCCTTAAAAAAACATCAGAAGAATTTTAGGCGGGATTCAAACGGACGACTTTTCGGTTACGAGCCAGACAGCCAGACACTGACCAGGCCATGTCCGCCGCACTTGGGGCACTTAGGGAGAGCATGAGAAGTGAAAGAATGGGGCTCCATAGCCCTATCGCGTTTCACTCTTAAAGGCGAAGCTTAATGGGATACTGAGCCAAACATTTCAGTGTCTATAATAAGTGGTGCACAATCTTTCCACAAGCCAGCAGCCGCCGGTGTGCGCGAGTACACGCAACGAAATTGACGCCATAGTCCTCCACTCACGCTTAGGATGACAATGAAATGTGTGGGCTCTGGGGAAAAGAATAAAGTCAGTCTTTGCATCTCCACAAGTGAAAGCTACGTGCTTGTTAGATCAATTATAATCGCCTACCTTTTTTTTACACAAGACCCCACTGTGTAGATGATGAAAAGCCTGTCTTTATTCTCCCTTTCCCCGGAGCCCACACATTTCACTGTCATCCTTAGCTGTGAATGTTGGTTTATCGCAGTCACTGACAGCTTACAACACGCAAAGCATGGCGCGCCTCGAGCTATATAACGTATACACCAACCAAAATCTAATAACGTTGGCACCAACACGCGGCCTTGGCGTCACGCCGCTGCGGTGGCGCTGGTGGCGCTGCTGTGGGCAGGGCGCATGCGCTGTGCCCACACCTCGTACGGGTTAATGCGGCGGGTTAGCCCCGCTGATTGCGCTTCTCACCGAGCACTTGTGCACTGCGGAGAAGCAATACCCGCGGAGACCTCGAGCTCCGCATGTATTGCTTCTCCGCAGTGCACGGGTGCTTGGTGAGAAGCGCACTCAACGGTGATATATCCGGCCGCAATGGTAACTTTGAAATATATATATATATTTCAGCTAACCTCGAAACGAATAACGTATTATTCTAAACTACTATTTGAATATATGCACAACCAAATGTGTGCCACTATTTTTAGTAAAGTTCCAATCTGACTCAGTTCAATGGACTTAATTACCTAATGTTTATGCATTGGGTGTATGCTTTTTTAAAAGTTCTTGTTACAAACTTATGCACGACGACCCCGTATTATGGCTTGCTGAGACTATACTTTTTTTAGCAGTTGCCATTCGACCGAAAAATACTTGTTTCTTACGGTGGCTTGTGGCTCACACTGTAAACCCTGACATTGCGAGTTCAAATTCCACTTTTGCTCATTTCTACTTGAAGAGCAGTAGGCGTGCCTTTGTGCAATTTAAATTGCATGATGTACATTTAAAAACCCCGGCTTAGCAGTCTGGCTGCATTGTCTAAATAGCGCCCCCCCCCCCCCCACACACACACACACACACACACACACACACACACAGCAGAGACCAAGAAGGGAGCATTTTATGACAGATATATATATATATATTATAACTTCATATGGTCCGAGTACCCACAAACAGCCTGTTGTTGGCATATCAATATATGCCAACAACAGGCTGTGGTTGATGATTTTGGCTTTGTATTAATGAAAGCCGGACAAAGAGTTTAAACAGACCCCAGAGCAGAGTGTTTACATGTGTTTACCTCTAACCATTGCATTCTGTCATGCTTGTAAGTCCAGAACGTAGCTAGGCACATGGCAAGGTGGCAATTTTGTGCCTGCTGGAGCTGCAAATTTTTATACGCTGGATCATGATTTGGCAAACGTGGAATTGGCGACAAGTGACCGGAACTATTATCCATGCCCCAGTTTGCCACAATGCACACCTCCCAAGCACGCGCTTTCAGACTCCCACTTAATAGCTTCCCTGATCTATCTGGCACACAATAAAGATTCTGATGGCAAAAGGAGGAACTAGCACAAGACTGACTGGGCAGCCTGCTTGACTGGGGACATGGATAATTAATGATGGAAGAAAATAAGCCGATCCAATTCTGCAAGTGCTTGTCTATGCAAAGAACCGTCGGCCAAAGCTAGCCGGTTGCAGCTCTGGGCTCGAGTGCCGCAGTGAATGAATGGGACACATTTTTTTGTTCATCCATAGGTTTGTATGGGCCATGTGGCGATTATGCCGAACTGGAAGTGCAAATGATAGCCAGGCCTCCACAGCGCTCAAAGAGAACACAGGGAACACCAGGTGCGCTAACTTGTGGCATTCAAAGCTGTTTTCAGCACACGACCTAGCACACAGGACCAGTGCTTTCCCTGCCACCGTCATGGACAACCTTTGTAGTGCTCCAAGCCAAGGCAAGTGGGCATGTAGCTCCACTGTTTGATGTTGTTATGGGAACCGAATCTCATGGCCAACATAGAGCACGAGATTTTACTGATTTGTTTCAAGCATGTTCCCTGTGCAAGTGCTCATGCAGAAGAGGTGGGGATAAGTTCTCATGCCTGTACCTCCGATTGTACTATGCACAGCTTGTGAAACATAGTATAGACCAGTGGTTTTTAAATGGGATTCCGCGGACCCACTGGTGTTTGCAAAGCCATTTTTAAGGGTCCGAAAAGCCCTTGCCTCCCCCCCCCCCCCCTCCTCCCCATTTGCTTGGTTGACCTTGGCTAGGTGACGCAAGCTACTGCTTGCTATTAAGGGTACAGCTGCTACCATCTATCCTTTTACTTGCACTTTGGCGGGCCTCCGAAGGGTCTTAAACCTCCATGCCCGAGAACCTCTGGGATAGACCATACAAACGTGCTGCAAGCCAGTGCCCTTTTCAGCATTTGTATATGTCGCACATGCCTTGTTTGTTTTCCAGAGCCACAAGCACGCCCGTGCTGAGCTGTGGAGCTAGTATGCTGGGCCACAGATTTGTGAACATTGGAAAGGTACATTATCGTCTTCCATCTGCAAGGTGGTGTGCGGTAACGAACAGAGAACTGATGTCAGTCACTTATTAATTTCGAGCATTAACTCAAGAATAAAAAGTCACATGTCTCTAGAAAACTCTTATTGTCAACACATTTAGCAAGATATGATATGCAGTTCTTGGGTTGTGACCACACATCCTTGCAGAAGATTATGCTGTAAGAAATTCATTAATCACCATTGTAAACAAGTGCTGAGCCGCCGTGACAGATGAACAGATTAAGCAGCACCTTTAATTAATGTCCTCAACAACGGCCCACGCAGGCTCTACTCTGTCTTCTGGGATTTCCTGTCGTCCTCGTCACTCATGTACTCGGCGACGTCGTCTTCCGGCAGCTCGTGCACCTTGGACGACGAGCCGGGCAACGCCGACGACAGGTTCTTGTAGATGGCCATTGCCTGCGCCACCGAAGACGTCACGTCTCCCGTGTTGGCGGGCAGGAGGATCGTGTTGTTCTCCTTCGCCAGGCTCTTGAAAGCGCGCACGTACTGCTCGGCCACAAGGAACGACGCCGCTTGTCCGCCCACGGGTGAGCGCAGCGAGCTGGCGATCAAATTGAGGGCCTTGGCCTTCGCCTCGGCCTTGGCGAGCGTCGCGTTGGCCTCCCCCTGCGCTAGGTTGATAAGTTGCATCTTCTCGGCTTCGGACGCCAAGATGAGCGCCCTCCGTTTTCCCTCGGCCACGTTAATGTCGGCTTCTCGGATTCCCTCGGACTCAAGCACGGCGGCCCGCTTCTTCCGTTCGGCCTCCACCTGCATCTGCATGGCTTCGTGCACCCGCTGCGGCAGACGGATGTCTCGGATCTCGTAGCGGAGGCACACAATACCCCAGGCGCCGCTCGCCTTGTTGATGGCGTCAACGATGGCGATGTTGAGCGACTCGCGCTCCTTGAACACGCTGTCCAGGGCGATCTTACCCAGTTCCGACCTCATGGTAGTCTGAGCCAGCTGGGTGATGGCAAACTCAGGGTCCTCGACGCCGTAGCTCGCGCGGTAAGGGTCCACCACTTTGAGGTATAGCACGCCGTCAATGTTGAGGGTCACGTTGTCCAGCGTGATGGCGGACTGCTGCGGGACGTCGATGGCGAGTTCTTTGAGGCTCTGGACGTAGCGGACGCGGTCCACGATGGGCAGGAGGAGATTCAGGCCCGGCTCGAGGATGCGGGAGAACTTGCCCATGCGCTCGACGACCCATGCCTCCTGTTGCGGCACGAACATGATGATTGTGTTCATCGGTGTCGTGTGTCGCTGTCGGGCCTGACGCGCCGCCGAAGAGGCCACGCTGCGGAGGAGCGACCGGCAGGCTATCGCTCGGCTGACGGGCAGCATGTTAGATGCTAGTTTGAGAACTTTGAAGAGTTTCTCAAAGCACGAAAGTGACCATAAGACACTGCGGACACCACATCTGATACAAACCGGGGAAACAAAAAAAATATGGACTGGAGCACAATGTAGCCAGAGACGTTCGTAGATTTCGTTAAAGCATGACATACTATTTGCGAAGTGCGAAACGTCCGAAACGTTGCCCTCTATTACGATGGTAGTTTTTATTCGTTAATAAATTTGTCATGAATTTATGAAACATACCTATGTGAGCTTGTTCTAACAAATGTTGGTCAGCATCAACGTTGGTCAGCATGAAGCAACGTCGCGAAACTGGACCAACCAGCGCAACGTTGAGAAATATCCTTCACACTGGGCAAAGGATCACCGAAAATAAATAAAACAAATGGTGTTCGTGTTCTTTCCAATGCAATCTTGGAACAAGAGGAGAACGGCTCGAAAACCACCGTTTTGATCAACTAATTAGAGCAGTTCTGTGCCGTACGCGGACCGAAATAACTCGCTGTGTGCGGAGGATGCGCGCAGCATGCAGTTGGGGGTCCTCGCGTTTCTGATCGCGAGGCATGGGCCCGAAGAACAGGCGACCGCCCAGCCGCCGCGAGTACAAGTCGCTCTCCAAGGATGCTCTCCGGCAGGAACTCAGATCTCGGGGTATAAAGTCGACGGGAAAAAAATCGGACATGGTGGGTTTTCGCGCATGCATACTTTCCGTAGTCTTGCGCTTGCCGCATTGACCGTTAACCGCTTCAAAACAAGACTACCGGCGTTCCGGTGTTGTCCGTATGCCCGCATGTTCGTCCTGCATGACCGCACACTTCGCTCGCACAAATTTTGTTCCCCTGCTTCGATTTGCAACCAAGCCCCGTCGAAGCGAAATATGCAGTTCAAAGGATGAGTTTCAACCCAACCCTGCGTTACCATAAAACTCCCGATGCCATATCGAAAGGTCGAACGCCTGGCTAGCGGTTGCGGCGCCGTAACCTGCTTTAATACAGAATTAAGGGGCAAAGGTCCTCAGGACTGTTAAGCGCCTTGTCGAATTGCCTGAAATGTCTTTCCCAATCTCCTTATCGGAGTGGGAGAGACAGCATCTGGCTTTCTACCAAATGTAACGAAAGCGTTAATTCGTCAGTTTTTTGCGCTTTTTGGTTCGTCCTCGTGAGTAGGCAACGCCGTGATCTTAACGAATTAAACAGTGAGCAGTTTGTCGATAGTAAGTTATAAGCTTCTTTTTCTAAATACTGAGACGGTGACTCGGGATACCTGGATACGTACGCGAAGAAAAAACTAAAATGTTGGGATTAGCCGCAGCTGTGAGCTGTGGTAGCGGAAGTTACGCATAGCGCAATTACGCAGAAAAAAGGCAAACTTCCGGTGGCGCGTTATCACGCTCGGTTAGCGCCTTTTAAAAAGTAAAAGAAACTGCAATATCACGCGGAAAGTCAGCAAGGTGGTCGCGTATACACCTGTCTCGCCGCTTGTGTTTTACTTTGCAGAGATCGTAAGTTCATAACTCAGAGAGCAAGCGCAGCCACTCGTGCGAAGGAGGCGGGAACGGTGTGGGATAAACCGATGACCGATCACATGGACTAAAAGTCCGCGTAGACCGGCTGTGCGTAGGTGAGTAGCAGACCCCTTTTTATCGCGATTCGTGGTGTCTCCACCGCTCTAATTCAACGAGGAAAGACGAAAATGACCGCGAACGTTGTACGTTTGACTTTTCCTTTTCTTCTTTACTTTCCTTCCTGGCTCTCGCCGCAGCGACTTCGTCAATCCTTTGTTTCGAGTGTGGCGCAAAAAGATCGTCTGCCACGTCGGCATTGGCGCGTGTTGCGCTCTTTACCTTCGGATAAGGTGATCGCGCTTCGTTCCGCTTTCAGAAAAACCACGAGGAAAAAAAGGAATGCCGTTGTGTGTGTAGAGAGCCTGTCGTTTATAGATGTTCGCGTTTAAAAGAGAAAGACGTTTACGCAATTTTTGTTTTCGTTTCCGCGTGTGGCATCGTTAGCACCGTCATGCTTGTGTCGCTCGCTCGTGGCCTTTTTTTTTTTTTTTCTTAGTTATTATATGTTAATGTCACGCAGTGGTGTCTTTTCCCTCTGGTGTTAGTCTGATTCGTGAGTCTGAAGAACGGCGAAACGCACAGCGGCGTGTTCGGCGAAGCAGCTGATTGACTTTGACTTCGTTTCCATAACTTGCGCGAGGCTGTTTTCCAAGTAGCATCCTCCATGCTCCTTCCGTCACCGTACCACGTCGCGATGGTCAATCCTGCGGTGGTAAGTGGCGACGCGATATGTCTGGGTTCCCGAGTCCCGCTTCGCGTCCGATCTCGCCGCTGGGTGATTGACCTCTGCCAACACTTCAGCGCGGTGCTTTTGAATGCAGTGTAAATTACGTTCGCAGTCCGGTTTACGACTAAGCGTTCCCACTAAAAGCGTCATGAAAATGCTAACATCAGTTGCTTACCGCTTCTCTAGCGGGTCAGCTGCGGCTCACGCCGCATTTTGCAAATCTTCGCTTTTTAGGGGCGAAGCTCCATAGGGTCTAGCCTTGTCCGTCCGGCGTCCGTGCTCACATCGATTACCCTCCCATCTGTCTTCTTAAAAAAAAAGAAAAAGAAAAAAAAAATGTTTGCGCAGTCGACAGGATTCGAAATGTGCGGGGAGTCCCCAATGGATATCTAGTCCATCGCCTTAACCACTCGGCCACGACTGCGGGACGAGTAGGGGGCTCTGAGATATGGTAGTAACTCAATGGGGTTACCAAACGCAACCCGGAACTCAGCACTACCTATGAGCAATGAAAAAAAATCAGCACCGTGAACAATAAAATCAGTATCATCAGCACCACCAGAGCTTCGCCCCAATCAACATCATTCACCATGTGGAGATGTTGTAATATTTTTCTTTTTTAATGCAAGCCGAGTTTATGACTGCAGCTCAGCTTGGTGTGATCGTGCACGGCCTCCTAATTTCACGTGCAGGAAAATGTAGAGTGGCCATTGCTCGTGCGACTCGGCCGGTCATATGCACCGTGGCTTGATAGTCGCGCCAGGGTCTTAGCAACCGCAGATTACTCTTATCACCTCCCCGGAGTCCATAGTATTGGCTATAGGGAGTTTTCACTGATGTAATTTTATCTCCCATTTTGTTGTTTTGAGCTATTTAGCGTGTGCAGAAGGCAAGTATCCCAGGGATTTCCATGACCCCTTAAATGCGTAGAGCACAGAAGATTACAAGTCTTACCATGCTGGCATCTCCTCAACAGGTTGCTATGTAATCCTTCACATTAGTGAATTTGTTTGAAAAAATAAACTAACAACAAAATTCACGTCATATGAAAACAACCTATACACAGCTAGTAGAAGAAAAAATTCAAAAAATGGTCACAACTCCAAATGTGTAAAATGGCCTAGTGATTTAAAATGGTAAAATTTATAAAGTTGTTTGAAAGGTAAAATGGCCTAGTTATTTCGGTTGAGGGTCTGTTCTCCCATTAGTTGGAGTGAAATAAATGTGGCTTCAGTTTTCACTTTTAATTACGTTGGGTGTGGTCATCAAACGTTTTTGATCAGTGCTTCCCAGATTTGTTTCACTTCTGTCAATGTATGCAAGGATTTCCCTAGCTGGATGTAAGTGGATGTTTATGGAATTTAATTACATTCCATAACGTCAATTAATATGACTGCATTTCTGTGCGGTAGATGCTCTCTATCATGCATGGGTTGTGGTGCACTGCACTGCCTGCCGGCTGTTTTCCAGCTGGCCTGCCTGCAGCTATGGCCTGTGCACTGTGTGAAACGAACAGCAGCACTCCGTGTACTGTTTTACTGGGGCATAAATTTTCCCTCTGCATTTCGCAGTCACACCTCAGACTGCCTGCATGGCAGCAACGTGCATGTGATACCGGCTGTGCTTTTGGCATTTTGAGAGTATTCTAATTAGATTTCTTTTTCTAGTTTAGTTTTGAAAGCTACTATTCAATAAACCATTGCTGGCAGTTTCACTGATTGGTTATCCTTGAAGGGCAGATTAAATTGGACCATAGGATGATTTTAGCCAAAACTACCTGGATGTGCCAGTTTGTTTTTAAAAGAAGAGCATTTTTGTGGCACAGTGGGATGCAAACGTCTATTATAAAATATTATATTGTAACAATGTCTTTTGAAAAGGACACTACATGTAGCAAGACCCACCCAGAGAAAATGGCTTATCAGGTTTTATTGTGCCGGGTCTTTATCATGAATGTGTGCAAGTGCAACCAATTTGTGAATTTATATTTTTTCTCAAGATTGTATAGGAAATGGATTGTTTGTAATATTTGGTTTCAGTATTGTGACATTTGCCCTTCTAAGACCTGCTTATCAGCTTGGACTTCGAGGGCTTCAGAAAATGTATTTTACGAACCAAGTTATGTTAAATAGCCGCTCAGCTACATGGATCTTAACAGTGAGCCCATTTATTTGAAGATGGGTCCTCTCTCTCGTGTTTAGTGGTGAATGATGTTTGACTTTTATTAGAGGTATGTGAACATAAAACCTGATGTTGCTAATAAAATATGAATATTGGAATTTAACTGTGAATCCAACGTGAATGTTTTATATTTAATGTGAATTGAGCATAGATTCTTTTAAACACCTACGGCTGAAAATTTTTTCTAGAAAAACCTTTGAAAAGGAAGTTTTATTACACCACAAACACTGCACATACTACTTGTACTGAGAGGACATTAAAAAAAAGAAAGGTCCCAGATAAGATGAGTTGGGTAAAACAGAACGTGACATGGCAAGCAAAGCAGTGACTGCCTCATTTACTTATACTCGTATTCACCTCAAGAACTGCAGTAAAAAAAGTCCAGCTCCTCGCGGAACGTCGACCAGTTTCGCTTAGATTAAATTTGTTATTTTATTAAGGCATACATGTGTCATACACCAAAAGCACCCTTTTTTCTTTCGACAACCAAATCTTCAAGCCCTTAATTTTCACAAATTGAAAAATTCACGACATATGCGAAGGGCACGCGAAAATTTCGGCCCTTAAGAGTTTCAATGCAGGCGTCTGGAATCCACAACATTTCCGCGACTTGATGTGGCGAGTGTAAAGGTGGTTTGGGGCTTTCTTTTCTGCCACTGTACCATAAAATTGGCAGTCAAGCTAAAATTATAACCATAGAAGGCTAACCTGACTTGCCAAGTCTCCCGTATTACCTGGGAGACTCCCGAATTTTGACAAATTTGCACGGTTGTGCGATTGACAGAAATATCTCCCGGAAACGCAAATGACCCCCTCTCCCTGCACTTGAGGGCCAACATACAACCTCGGTTTTCTGCGGGGAAGATAACCGTTTTAGCGCTCCCCTCTCCTAAGCTGCGAGGGGAGCCAAGTTGGGGCAGGATAAAAAGTGAAGAGGATATAGGGTAAAGGGAGGCGGTCAAAAGTGGAAAGTGTGAAACGTACGACGGTCTTTAAACAAGGAGTCTTTGCTGTTGCAACAAACATACATACATTTTATTTCCAGTTTTTAAGATATTGCAACCTGTGGCCACATAAGCCAATAAGGCTTGTGCGTTGGGCGCGGCAGCTGCACTCAGGTAAATACACATTCAACGGCTGCAATGATAGCGAGGCTCAGCTGGATCTCGGTAGTATGAGCAGTGCAATATAAATGTAATAAAGTTGCCTGC